TTAAACGCCCCCCCACACCCCTTCCTGTGGAATCCACGCCCATCCTCCCCCCGCGACCCCGCGCGGGCCCCGGCTCCTGACTCAGTGTCCCCCTCTGCACCCGGAGGAGCGATCAGCGACCTGATTATACGTGAATAAACCCCGGTGGCCGCTCCTGAGGCCCAGAATCTGGGCTTCGCGGGTTCGAATCCAGCTTCGGGACACAGGAACGTCCACGCGACTCCCAATCAGCCACCCAGAAACACAAGGTCGGGGGGCGCCGTGGCTCAGGCGGTGGAGCGCCAGCCTTGAGCACTGAAGCTCAGGGACGGCATCTGGGTCCCGAGTTCAAACCCCACGGAAGCGAAAAATGACACTGTCCTCCAAGGGAGAGTGGAGTTTTGTTTTATCCAGGGGGTCTGCTCTCAGGTGAGCTCTGCATGTGTACGCACACACACGCGTGCGCCTGTGAGCGTTCACACACGCCCTGTTCCCTGTGACACACGGACCTGCTCGTGAAGGACCTCTGTTTCCTCGTTTTCTCTAAAAAAAAAAAAAATCGAAAATAAGGGGCCTCCAGCCTATCAGGCTCCCGCCTGTCATCCCAGCTACTCGGGAGGCCGAGCTCCGAGGATCCCGGTTCAAAGCCAGCCCGGGCAGGAAAGTCCGTGAGACTCTGATCTCCAATGAACCACCAGAAAACTGGAAGTGGCGCTGTGGCTCAAGTGGTAGAGCGCCAGCCTTGAGCTGAAGAGCTGAGGGACGGCGCCCAGGCCCCGAGTTCAAGTCCCACCACTCACACACACACACAGAACATTGCTTTGAATTCCTTTTTCGTCCTTCATTGTAGCATACTGAGTATATTTCTCCACATCCCCCCCCCCCACACACACACCTGAGAACTCTTTGGCTCTTTGCATGAGTTTGAACCCAGGGCCTTGTGAGAATTTCTGACTTCCCTCCGGCCTCCTGTCTTTCCATTCCAGCCATCCCAAGAAAGGGACATTTAAAATAAGCAAGAAACAATGAATAAATAGCCTGCGTTCGCCTCCTATCCACTCTTATTTCCTGCCACCTTGGCCTTCTGGATTCTGGAATATTCTGGAAGGTTTTGAAGAAAGGCTTTTCTCAGATTGATTCCTGGGGATACAGAAGCAGGGTTGCCTCCCTTCCCCCTCCCCACCCCCAATAACTGGGCTGTTCACTGCAGGTGGGGAATGTTCTCGTTTCTAGCACAAGATGGCGTTGGCAAGCAGGCAATAACTCCTCTGCTGAACACAAGCCACCAGTGAGCCACACAACCCCATGATGAGCTTGAACCCAGGGCCTGGGCGCTGACCCTGAGCTTGTGTGCTCAAGGCTGGCGCTCCACCACCTGGGCCACAGCTCCACTTCCGGCTTTCCCTGGAGATCAGAGTCTCACGGACATTCCTGTCCCAGGGGCTCAGCCTCCTCGGGAGCTGGGATGACAGGCCACCAGGATGCCTGGCAGGACTTGATTTCTTAAAGCAATTTCCAAGCTGGGCACCTGTGGCTCCCGCCCGTCATCCCAGCTACTCAGGAGGCTGTGAGGATCGTGGTTCAAAGCCAGCCCGGGCAGGAAAGTCTGCAAGACCCTTTATCGCCAGTAAACTACTCAGAAAAAGCCAGGAGTGGCGGCGTGGCTCAAGTGGTAGAGCGCCAGCCTTGAGCTGAAGAGCTGAGGGACGGCGCCCAGGCCCTGGGTTCAAGCCCCACGACCGACCAAAAAAAATAAAAATACTACCCAGGATCAAGAAGCAAGCTCTCCCTTCTGGGTCTTCTACCTAGCAGTCAGCACCCTGGGCTCGATTGTCCCTTAAGGCCTTTTACCTGTGTGTTAGCAGTGGGCATTGGGAAGGCTTGTCCAGACAGAAAGACAGACCCGTGTGCACCCCTCTGCTTATCTACTAATCTCAGCCCTCTAAAAGGAATCCACAGAGATTATTGTTCCTCCTCCTCCTCTTCCTCCTTCTCTTCTTCTTTTCTTCTTCTTCCTCCTCCTCCTCTCCTCTTCTTCTTCTTCCTCCTCCTCCTCTCCTCCTCCTCCTC